ATGATAGCTAATGTGTGGACTAAGGTGAGTTAGCCACGGGTCCCGTTTTGGAGGGCACACTTCAGAATAAGGTAGTAAATGTTTCAGGGGGCCAGAAAGGAATGGTTGGAGGCTGAGGACTGGATGTTTTGCCTGGGTTCCTGGGTGACATGATTGGCATTCATAAACACAGGAGAGGGAGGTAAGTGACAATGTCGGCTGTATCAGATGGCATAGCTTGTCATGGCGCGGACTTCATGGAAATAATAGACATGAGACGTAGGCAGAAGTACAGGAGGAATTGAGGGAAAGGTCATCATTGCCGAGCGGTTGGCAAGTGAAGCACAGAAGTGGAATAGGGTCAGGAATAGCTGAAGCCACACGTGGTTCTGTGTTGCTGTGGAGCCGTGCAAGGAGGCCTTCATAGAATTACTTGAGACCACCACTCCTTTTAGGATCCAGTAGAATTGCAATTCTGTGGTAATAGTGGATCGGTTTGAATGGGCCATACACACTCTGGGTGGTGTCAGCCACGATGTGGTGTAAGGCCAAAAATGAAGGCCCAATGTGATTTGCCACGTGGATGCCTGGTGATATTGGTACAACCCCAAATGGCCTGAGTGCAAGTTTCTTTCCCATTTAACTATCTTTTTGTATATTTTAAATTTTTTTCTCGTGTGTGTGTGTGTGTGTGTGTGTGTGTGTATGTGTATGTAGAAACAGGGTCTTGGCCATGTTGTCCAGGCTGGTCTTGAACTCCTGGGATCAAGCAGTCCTTCCACTTTGGCCTCCCAGAGTGCTGGGATTATAGGTGGGAGACTCCATGACTGGCTACTTCATGCTCTTAAGTAATGTATCTGAATGGGTGCAGTGGCTCACGCCTGTAATCTCAGCACTTTAGGAGGCTGAGGCAGGTGGATCATTTTCCATCAGGAGTTTGAAACCAGCCTGCCCAATATGGCGAAACACCATCTCTATTAAAAATACAGAAATTAGGCCGGGCGCGGTGGCTCAAGCCTGTAATCCCAGCACTTTGGGAGGCCGAGATGGGCAGATCACGAGGTCAGGAGATCGAGACCATCCTGGCTAACATGGTGAAACCCCGTCTCTACTAAAAAATACAAAAAACTAGCCGGGCGAGGTGGCGGGCACCTGTAGTCCCAGCTACTCGGGAGGCTGAGGCAGGAGAACCCGGGAGGCGGAGCTTGCAGTGAGCTGAGATCCGGCCACTGCACTCCAGCCTGGGTGACAGAGCGAGACTCTGTTTCAAAAAAAAAAAAAAAAAATACAGAAATTAGCTGGGCATGGTGGTACATGCCTGTAATCCCAGCTACTGAGGTGCTGAGACAGGAGAATTGCTTGAACCCAGGAGGCGGAGGTTGCAGTGAGCCAAGATTGCACCACCATACTCCAGCCTGGGTGACAGAGCGAGACTCCCGTCACAAAAAAAAAAAGAAAAGAAAAAAATAGGTAATGTGTCCTAGCCTCTGAAGCCTTTCCATCGATGGGACCAGGCAGAGTTCAAGTCAATGGCATCCTCCTGAGGGAATCAGGCCATTACATTCTCTTCATCTTACAAAGCTTGCATGCCATGGCCATGGTTGCTCTCTCTTATCTACAATGCATCCCCCATGTGGCTTTCCGTGGTGAGTGGTGTCCCTCTTATCAGGCTGTTAATATGTTTGATTTTTTTTTTTTTTTTTTTTTTTGAGGCAGAGTTTTGTTCTTGTTGCCCAGGCTGGAGTGCAGTGGCGCGATCTCGGCTCACTGCAACCTCTGCCTCCCAGGTTCAAGCGATTCTCCTGCCTCAGCATCCCGAGTAGCTGGGATCACAGGTGCCCGACACCACGCTCTGCTAATTTTTTGTATTTTTAGTAGACCGAGGTTTCACATTGTTGGCCAGGCTGGTCTCAAACTCCTGACCTGAGGCGATCCACCCGGCTCAGCCTCCCAAAACGCTGGGATAACAAATGTGAGCCACTGCGCCTGGCTCAATACATTTGATTTATAAATTGCTCTTGATGACATCTGTAGAATATCAGATGTCATTTGTTTTACCAACATTATAACCCTAGGGGGAGATTTTAACCCACCCTAGTTGAAGAAAAAGGAGGGAATTAAGATACTTTAAGCTGGCTGGACACTGTGCTAATGCCTGTAGTCTTAGCACTTTGGGAGGCCTAGATGGGCAGATCACAAAGTCAGGAGTTCGAGACCAGCCTGGCCAACATGGTGAAATCCTATCACTACTAAAAACAGAAAAAATTAACCAGGTGTGGTGGTACACACCTGTAATCCCAGCTGTTCGGGAGATTGAGGCAGGATAATTGCTTGAACCCAGGAGGTGGAGGTTGCAGTGAGCCGAGATTGTGCCACTACACTTAAGCCTGGCGACAGAGTGAGACTCTGTCTCAAACAAACAAACAAAAACATATACTTTAAGTTGTTTAAAGGCAAGAGAGAGGCCAGTGGTGTGTGACAGTGAGCTGGGGATGGACATGGATATGTACCTGGAAGTCTAAAGAATGATGTGCATTCAGAGAGGGTATGTCTGATGTGCTGAAGGTGCCACATTGAGCTCTCCATGCCCTCGGTCATACTGGGGGAAGTGCTTGTCAGGAGGGGGTGGACTCTTATGTCACAGCCACCTCACAGATACCTATTTGTTCAACTAATTATTGTTGGTGGCTGTACCCCATGACCAGTGGGCCTAGTTTCTCCAGTGGCACCTGGAGGAGGTCATGGAGTCAGGGCTTTATTGAAAGCATACCAGGAACCTCCTCCTTGAGAGGAGGATGTGCGAGAGTAGATGTGTGGGAGAGAGGGATTGTGGTACCTCAGCATAGGGGCCGTTTGTAGTTTCATCTGTCAACATCATAACAGGGCACAGTGACTTTTGAAGACGTGGCTGTGAAATTTACCCGGGAGGAATGGAATCTCCTTAGTGAGGCTCAGAGATGCCTGTACCGTGATGTGACCCTGGAGAACCTGGCACTTATATCCTCCCTGGGTAAGTTGCTCACAATTACCCTGTGACCCGAGCTAGTCTCTGCTTTCCCCCCTCTTTCCCCATTGGCAAGACTTTCTCATGTCAGGAGCATGGACACAGCTTCCTGCTTCAGTTCTGTGGGTAGGTTCTTGGTTGGTAGAACTGAGGTGTCCATACTGCCCTGCTCCTTTCTTGGAGCAGCCCCAACACCTGCTTTACTGCAGGCTCCCAGGGAGGGATTCATAGTCAGAAGCCCACCTTGTTAGTCCTGTGGATGTTTGGGTGTCCTTGTCCAGATTTCAGGTTCCTGTGTACCAGTCTTTTTTTTTTTTTTTTTTTTTTTTTTTTTTTTGAGGGTCTGCTCTGTAGCCGGCTGGAGTGCAGTGGGATCTCAGCTCACTGCAAGCTCCCTCCCGGTTCATGCCTTCTCCTGCCTCAGCCCCGAGTAGCTGACTCAGGCGCCCGCCACCTCGCCCGGCTAGTTTTTTTTTTAGTAGATGGTTCACGGTGTTAGCCAGGATGTCTCATCTCCTGCCTCGTATCCCCCACTCCCTCCATGCTGGATTCAGCTTAGCCACCGCCGGCCTAGCTGCTATTTTCTTATGCCTTCCTGTGGTGGGAATTGCCTTCACAGACTACATCACTGCCTACATAGACCAGAGGCTGTTCTTGTAAGACCTTCTTTAGAAATTCTCCTTGAAATACTGTTTTTTTCTCTCGTGGGCTTTCATGGGCTGAGTTGTTCTGAGACAATGTTGGCTGTTCCCTTGTTCTGTCTTTCCCTTAGTTTGTACGTTATTCATTTCCCATGTATTTGATCATCATTGTGGTGGGATGCACAGTCTTCCATGCTGCAGAAGATGCAAATGAATTCAGCCTCAGCATAATGGGCTCAGAATGAATGTGTCCCTCAAGACTGGCACCCTGGGCTGGGTGAGGTGGCTCGTGCCTGTAATCCCAGCACTTTGGGAGGCCCAGGCAGGTGGATCATGAGGTCAGGAGTTCAAGACCAGCCTGGCCAAGATGGTGAAACCCTGTCTCTACTAAAAATACAAAAATTAGTCGAGTGTAGTGGCACATGCCTGTAATCCCCGCTACTTGGGAGGCTGAGGCAGAGAATTGCTTGAACTTGGGAGGGGAGGTTGCAGTGAGCCCAGATTGCGCCACTGCACTCCAGCCTGTGCGACAGAGCAAGACTCCGTCTCAAAAAAAAAAAAAAAAAAAGAAAAAGTGGCACCCTGGAGGAGGTCATGGAGTCAGGGCTTTATTGAAAGCATACTAGGAACCTAATCTATTTTAGTAGTATTTCTGTGGCAAGAGAAGTAGGCACACATAATTCGTCTTTTCTTCCTCATTCTTGAGAGCATCACACTTGTCACTTGTCTGCCTTATCACTTCTACTCTTTTTTTTTTTTTTTTAAACCTTTGACCTACTTGTACCCTAATATCCATTCTCCTGTCTAATCTTCACATCTCTGGACCCCAAATCTCATCCGTCTTACATACATCGCCATCTACAGTGTTCTCCAGTGTTGGCATAGAGATTTGTGTTAGCAAATATATATGCTTTGTTAAACTGACGTCGAGCAGTAGCTGCTGTGTTGTACTCCTGTTTTCCTTGGCCTGGACAAATCCCTCTCTACAGCACTCACATGTCATGAGGATGTAAAGTTCTGCAGATGAGTGGTTTGCAGATGCAGGAATTGTAGACCCTGCCTATACTCCCTGTGTTACATACCTGGTTGTGTTCTTTATGTTATGAGGCCTCCTACATTCTGTGACCTTTAGAGTCCAGTAATAATAAATAGCACCATGTTCCACCTGAAGCCAATGTTCTGTTCCTCCAAGTATTTCCTTGGAGTAATTCCTCAATTTGTCAGATACACTTGTGGGTGGTCTGTGCCTTCCCAGCAGAGTTAACATGCACTTCACCAGCATTTTCTTGCTTTCAGGTTGTTGGTGTGGAGTGGAAGATGAGGCACCTTCTAAGCAAAGTATTTATATACAAAGAGAGACTCAGGTCAGGATTCCTATGGCAGGTGTGTCTCCCAAGAAGGCCCACCCCTGTGAGATGTGTGGCCCTATCTTAGGAGACATTCCACACGTGGGAGATCATCAGGGAACACATCCCAAGCAGAAACTGCACAGCTGTGAGGCCTGGGGGAACAAATTGTATGACAGTGGAAACTTTCATCAACACCAGAATGAGTACATTGGAGAGAAACCCTACAGAGGCAGTGTTGAGGAAGTGTTGTTTGTGAAGAGGTGTAAGTTCCATGTGTCAGAGGAGTCATCTGTCTTCAGTCAGAGTGGGAAAGACTTTTTGCCCATTTCAGGATTACTCCAGCAGGAGGCCACTCACACTGGGGAGAAGTCAAACAGCAAAACTGAGTGTGTGTCTCCCTTTCAGTGGGGGGGAGCTCACTATAGCCATGGAGAATCCATGAAACATTTTAGCACCAAACATACACTCAGTCAGCACGAGAGACTTCTCCCTAGAGAAGAGTGTTATGTGTGCTGTGAATGTGGGAAATTCTTTAGCAAACATGCTAGCTGCAGTAATCATCAGAGAGTTCACACTGGTAAAAGACTTTATGAATGTGGAGAATGTGTGAAATCCTTTAGCAAATATGCTAGCTTCAGTAATCATCAGAGAGTTCACACTGGAAAAAAACATGAATGTGGAGAATGTGGGAAATCCTTTAGTCAAAAGAGAAGCCTCATTCAACATCAGCGATTTCACACTGGAGAAAAACCTTATGAGTGTGAAGAGTGTGGGAAATCTTTTAGTTCAGAAGGACATCTTAGGAGCCATCAACGAGTTCACGCTGGAGAAAGACCTTACGAGTGTGGAGAATGTGTGAAATCTTTCAGTCATAAGCGCAGTCTTGTTCACCATCAGCGAGTTCACGCTGGAGAAAGACCTTATCAGTGTGGAGAATGTGGGAAATCTTTCAGTCAAAAGGGCAACCTCGCCCTACACCAGCGAGTTCACAGTGGAGAAAGACCTTATGAGTGTGGAGAATGTGGGAAATCTTTCAGTCATAAGCGCAGTCTTGTTCACCATCAGCGAGTTCACAGTGGAGAAAGACCTTATCAGTGTGGAGAATGTGGGAAATCTTTCAGTCAAAAGGGCAACCTCGTTCTACACCAGCGAGTTCACACTGGAGCAAGACCTTATGAGTGTGGAGAATGTGGGAAATCTTTTAGTTCAAAAGGACACCTTAGGAACCATCACCACATTCACACTGGAGACAGACTTTATGAGTGTGGAGAGTGTGGGAAATCTTTTAGTCATAAGGGCACCCTCATTCTACATCAGCGAGTTCACCCTAGAGAACGACCTTATGGGTGTGGAGAATGTGGGAAATCTTTTAGTTCAAACGGGCACCTTAGGAGCCATCAGCGTGTTCATACTGGAGAAAGACCTTATGAGTGTGGAGAATGTGGGAAATCTTTTAGTCATAAGCGCAGCCTTGTTCACCATCAGCGCATTCACACTGGAGAAAGACCTTACAAGTGTGGAGAATGTGGGAAATCTTTTATTGAAAAAGGACACCTTAGGAATCATCAGCGAGTTCACACTACAGAAAGACCTTTTAAGTGTGGGGAATGTGGGAAATGTTTTAGTCACAAGGGTAACCTCGTTCTACACCAGCATGGCCATATGGGAGGAAGGCCTTATGTGTGTAGGGAATGTGGAAAATTATTTAAGAAGAAGTCTCGCCTCCTTGCACACCAGAGAATTCACAATGGAGAAAAGCCATATGCTTGTGAAGCTTGTCAGAAATTTTTTAGGCACAAGTACCAACTCATTGCACATCAGAGAGTTCACACTGGAGAAAGGCCTTATGAATGCAATGATTGTGGAAAATCATTTACCCACAGCTCTACGTTCCATGTTCATAAGTGAATTCACACTGGAGAAAAGCCTTATGAGTGCAGTGAATGTGGAAAATCTTTTGCTGAAAGCTCCAGTCTCACTAAACACAGGAGAGTTCACACTGGAGAAAAGCCTTATAAATGTGAGAAATGTGGGAAATTATTTAACAAGAAGTCTCACTTCCTTGTACACCAGAAAGTTCACACTGGAGAAAAGTCATATGAGTGTGAGGATTGTCAGAAAGTTTTTAGCAAGAAGGACCACCTCATTGCACATCAGAGAGTTCACACTGGAGAAAAGCCATATGTATGCAATGATTGTGGGAAATCATTTACCCACAACTCTGCATTCCGTGTTCATAAGAGAGTTCACACTGGTCACACGACCTTATGAGTGCAGTGAATGTGGGAAATATTTTGCTGGAAGCTCCTGTCTCACTAAACAAAAAAGAGTTCACACTGGAGAAAAGCCATATGGGTGGAGTGAATGTGGGGAGAAATTTAGCCAAAGCTTTTCACTTTTTCATCATCAGAGAGTTCACAAGAGAAAGGCCTTAATTGTGTAGTGAATGTGGGAAATCCTTTGCCAAAACTTTCAGTCTCATTAAACACAGGAGAGTTCACACTGGAGTAAGGTCTTGTGATTGCAGCAAATGTGGAAAAAAAGTTACCTGAAGGTCTTCTCTCTTTGAACATCAGAGTTCACACTAGACAAATGAAATACATTTGGGTGATTTTATAGCCACACTTCTGTGCTCCTTCAACATCAGAGTTAACACTGGATCAGGGCCTTACCAGTGTGACAAATGTGACATATTTATATAGAAATCTAGCTTCATAATACACAGGAGACTTCCCACTGCAGAAACGCTTTTTGAATGTAATGAATGCAAGAAAGGCTTCAGCATGTTTTTTTTTTGAGATGGAGTCTCACTCTGAAACCCAGGCTGTAGTGCAGTAGTGTGGTCTAGGCTCACTGCAAGTTCTGCCCCCCGGGTTCACACCCTTCTCCTGCCTCAGCCTCCCGAGTAACTGGGACTACAGATGTCCACCACCACGCCCGGCTAATATTTTGTATTTTCAGTAGAGACAGGGTTTCACCGTGTTAGCCAGGATGGTCTTGATCTCTTGACCTCGTGATCTGCCCACCTCGGCCTCCCAAAGTGCTGGGATTACAGGAATAAGCCACCACGCCCAGCCCAGCCTTCAGCCTTCTTATTAGAGCCTCAAACATTGTCATGAGAAACACACAATAGATGTATATGGAATGTTATTTCTTTTTCAATGTAACATTTGAGGAGCTCCTTTGAGGGTGCCACCTGCCTAGATTGAATGTCATTTATCGAGAATCTGCAAAATTTCCAAGCATGGGGCAGCTACAGTGCATTTTTCACTCTACCCAGGTGCCTTGCTAGATTTCTTTTTGAGATAGTGTGTCACTCTGTCGCTCAGGATGGAGTGTAGTGATGTGTTCACATTTCTTGATCTCCTGGACTTGTGATTCTCTTGCCTCAGCCTCCTGAGTAGCTGAAACCACAGGCATGCACCACCATGCTCCACTAATTCTTTAAGTTTTGGAGACACAGGGTTTCACCATGTTGCCCAGGCTGGTCTTCAACTTCTGGACTCAAGTGATCTTTCCACCTTGGCCTCCAAGCATGCTGGGATTACAGGTGTGAGTTACTGTGCCTCACTTTTTTTTTTTTTTTTAATTTTAATTTCTGATCTAGTCACAGAAGGATTTGTTGAGTAGCTTCAGCACTTCTTCCTTTGTCATTTTTTTCTGTCTGATAAGTCGTGCCATGGACCTTACCCATTTTTATCCCAGAGGCCTCTTATGTTGACTTGAAAAGATGAACTATGTCTTTCAGAGATCTTGTGGGTATCACATAAATCTTGACAAATTTTCTACCCTCCAAGTCATGATCCTAAGGACAGCTTGCCTCCCATTTCTCCAGTTTGTGCTATTATGGAGGCCTTATTGTTTCAGCCTTCTTCAATCTTGAGGGTTGTTGTCACTGTATGCGTGGTTCAGAAACAAGTAGGTCCTGTTACCATGAAGGGGGTCACAGCTTTTGTTGGCATAGCTAAACTCTTTGTGGCTCATGGGACAGTATGAATGCAGAACATAGCTTTCTCGACTTGTGGACTGCTTTGCATAGCTGCCAGAGGCCTCCAGAGAAGGCCTTCAGGGCTTTGTGGTCTTTATCTGTAGCATGGATACTAAAATTTGTGGACTCATAGGTCAGCTGGCTCCAGGGCATTTTTTGTGACAATTTCTGGTGTTTTTTGAACAAGACAAAATTCTCACTTTTACGAGGTATATTGCATTGTACTCGGTACTGCTGAGGGAAGTTTGTTCCCCAGCTCTTGCAATGCAGACACATGCCTTGATATCCAGAATTCTGTAGGATAACATCACAGATTGTAATGCTATTGGGTGAAATTATAATTTTATAAAATTACTGCATTTATAGGCAGTGGAGGAGACAGAATAATGTAATTGCAACACTTTTTTTTTTTTTTTTTTTTTTTTGAGACGGAGTCTCGCGCTGTTGCCCAGGCTGGAGTGCAGTGGTGCAATTTTGGCTCACAGCAATCTCTGCCTCCCAGGTTCAAATGATTCTCCAGCCTCAGCCTCCCGAGTAGCTGGGACTACAGGCACGTGCCACCACACCCAGCTAATTTTTGTATTTTTAGTAGACATGTGGTTTCACTGTGTTGGCCAGGCTGGTCTCGAACTCCTGACCTCGTGATCCGCTGGCTTCAGCCTCCCAAAGTGCTGGGATTACAGGTGTGAGCCACCATGCCTGACATAATGCATGTCTTTTAAAAGGGCATCCACGATGATCCAGTCACTATGTATGTGATGAATATGCAGATACAGGAATTTGAGTTCTTCCGTAATGATGAATGTTGTATTGTTGAGGCCATTGTCAGAGGAAATACTCTAGAGGTTTTGTGAATTCCTGTACCCATTCTGGGCTGTGCACCTCAAGGTCATTCCTGCATTAGCAGGAGGAAGATGATAGGGAGAAGGGAGATCTCAGTTCAGTGATGTGGCCTTTGTGACCAGCCAGCCAGTTAATCAGATGGAAATGGCCTTATTGCCACATCAATATTTGCTACCACGGAGGCTAGTTTTCTCACTTAGGGCATGAGAAGAATTGGTGTAGTCAGTATAGAGTTGCCAAACCTATTCTCCAAAAATAATGATAAATATTTTTCTTTTGAATTGCATTTTTTTATTATTATTTTTAAATTTTTTTTTTTTATGAGATGGAGTCTCGCTGTGTTGCCCAGGCTGAATGGAGTGCAGTGGCATGATCTCGTCTCACTGCAAGCCCTGCCTCCTGGGTTCACACCATTCTCCTGCCTCAGCCTTCCAAGTACCTGGGACTACAGGCACCCGCCACCACACCTGGCTAATTTTTTGTATCTTTACTAGAGATGGGGTTTCACCGTGTTAACCAAGATGGTATCGATCTCCTGAATTCGTGATCTGCCCACCTGGGCCTCCCAAAATGCTGGGATTACAGGCATAAGCCACTGCGCCCAGCAATTTTTTTTTTTCTTTTTTGAGATAGAGTCTCACTGTCACCCAGGCTGGAGTACAGTGGCATGACCTAGGCTCACTGCAACCTCTACTTCCTAGGTTCAAGCAGTTCTCCTGGTTCAGCCTCCCGTGTAGCTGGGACTGGAAGCATGTGCCACCATGCCCAGCCAATTTTTGTATTTTTAGTAGAGACGGAGTTTTGCCATGTTCGCCAGGCTGATCTCGGACTTCTAACCTCAGGTGATCTGCCTGCCTCAGCCTCCAAAAGTGGTGGGATTACAGGTGTGAGCCACTGCTCCCAGTCTGAAGTATATTTTAAAGCAGTGATAAGTTATAAGTTATGAATTACATTCAGTAAAGTATGCATATTTAAACTGTAGTATGTGATAAATTTGGAGTTTCATATAATCCCATGAAACCACTGACATAGTCACAATAATGAATTTAACACCTTTATATTTACCTGGAACCTTTTTTTAAAGTCTTTCTTTCTGTTCTCCAGACGATCAATGATTTACTTTGCTGTACAGTAAAGTACTTTCCATTTTCTGGAATTTTAGATGACTGATGTAATAAAGTGTTTCCTCATATAATCCCTGGGTGCTCTCTTGTATCATTTTTTTGTTTTTTAATGACCAGTATATATATATATATTTTTTTGGAGATGGAGTCTTGCTCTGTGCCCAGCCTGGAGTGCAGTGGTGCGATCTTGGCTCACTGCGAGCTCCGCCTCCCGGGTTCATGCCATTCTCTTGCCTCAGCCTCCGGAGCAGGTGAGACTACAGGCGCCCGCCACCATGCCCATCTAATTTTTTTGTATTTTTAGTAGAGACGGGGTTTCATCGTGTTAGCCAGGATGGTCTCGATCTCTTAACCTCGTGATCCACCCGCCTCGGCCTCCCAAAGTGCTGGGATTACAGGCTTGAGCCACCGCACCTGACCCAAAATGTATTTATTTAATATTAATCACAAGGCCTCCACCAAGGCTTAAATTAAAAGACAAAAGAAAAATAGTACCAAAGCTCAAGATACAGAGTTCTATACAGAAATCACGGAAAGGGCAGACAATCTAAGGAAAAATTAAAACACAAGGATAGGCTGCGCAGCGTGGGTCAGAGCTCCTGGCTGGTGACCTACTTTGAGTAGCTTTCTTGCAGGTACTTCCTTATTTTTATTTTTTTTGAGACGGAGTTTCACTCTTGTTGTCTAGGCTGGAGTGCAATAGTGAGATCTCAGCTCACCGCAACCTCCGCCTCTCGGGTTGAAGTGATTCTCCTGCCTCAGCCTCCTGAGTCGCTGGGATTACAGGCACATGCCACCACGCTTGGCCAATTTTTAATTTTTTTAAATAGAGATGAGGTTTCTCCATGTTTATCAGGCCTTGGACTCTCTATCTACCTCAGGTGATCCACCCACCTCGGCCTCCCAAAGTGCTGGGATTAGTCGTGAGCCACCGCGCCCGGCCCTTGCAAGTACTTCTTAAAGCTGTGGGGTTTCCCAGAGCTTGGTAGCATGTGTGTTCAAAGGGCTATTTATTAATGTTGGGTTCTAGCAGGCACTGGATAGAGAGCAGGATGGTCCTGATATCATACAGGGCAAACTACTTCTTCAGGATTTCCAGGCATATGTTACCCTGGGTGTTCATGTTAGGGTGGTAGCAGGGTGTGAGGAACTTCACCATGGGTGCATTGTAAGGGTGGGTAGTCACTGAGGAACTCTAGCAAGAGTTTATACCTCAGGTCTTCATACACTGTGCCAGCAGCTCCATGGATAGTCTCCATTTGATAAGGCTTTCAGGGCAGGCAGAAATTCTTTTTTTTTTTTTTTTTTTGGTCGGAGTCTAGCTCTGTCGCCCAGGCTGGAGTGCAGTGGCCAGATCTCAGCTCACTGCAAGCTCCGCCTCCCGGGTTTACGCCATTCTCCTGGCTCAGCCTCCCGAGTAGCTGGGACTACAGGCGCCTGCCACCTCGCCCGGCTAGTTTTTTGTATTTTTTAGTAGAGACGGGGTTTCACCGTGTTAACCAGGATGGTCTCGATCTGCTGACCTTGTGATCCGCCCGTCTCGGCCTCCCAAAGTGCTAGGATTACAGGCTTGAGCCACCGCGCCCGGCGGCAGAAATTCTTTTGTCACCAGGCATTGTGAGGGTCACCAGCTCCTGCTGTAGCCTTTTGCCTACAGGGTCCCAGGCAATGCTCCTGCTGGGCTCAGCTCCTTTATGGGTGGTGGCAACACTGACAGCGACTGGGTCAAAGTTTTGGGAGGCTACCTGGGTGGCAAGAACTCAGAAAATGTGACTGCATCTGTGATCATCATGTTTATTTTTTAATCTTTATTTATTTAGAGACAGAGTCTTGCTCTTATCACCCAGGCTGGAGTGCAGTGGCGTGATCTTGGCTCACCACAACCTCCGCCTCCCGGGTTCAAGCCATTTTCTTGCTTCAGCCTGCAGAGTAGCTGGGATTACAGGCACTTGCCACCACGCCCGGCTAAGTTTTTATATTTTTAGTAGAGACAGAGTTTTTCCATGTTGGTCAGGCTGGTCTTGAACTCCCAACCTCAGGTGATCCACCCACCTCGGCTTCCCAAAGTGCTGGGTTACAGGCATGAGCCACCACACCTGGCTTAAAAATATTACAGGCCGGGTGCGGTGGCTCTGGCCCACATAGTGAAACCCCGTCTCTACTAACCCCGTTTGTACTAAAAATACAAAAATGAGCTGGGCTTTTAGTGGCACGTACCTGTAATCCCGGCTACTTGGGAGGCTGAGGCAAGAGAATCGAACCCGGGAGACGGAGGTTGTGGTGAGCCAAGATCACGCCACTGCACTCCAGCCTGGGTGACAAAGTGAGACTCCATCTAAGAAAAAAAAAAAAATATTTTTAAGTTCTCAGTCAACTTTAACTGAATAGTGGTCAGTTTTGTAATCACAGTGACATTCTTGCAAACAAATATAATGTGTGGCCTCTTTGATATACTGGATAGTTAAAAATTGTTTTAAAGTTTTGCCTAATATTTTATGATTTATCTCAATGTAATCTGTGTAGTGAAATTTATAGATGACGCCTTTTTTTTTTTTTTTTTAAAGACAAGAGTCTAGCTCTGTTGCCTAGGCTGGAGGGCATGATGTCAGCTTACTGCAATCTCCGCTTCCTGCATTCAAGCGATTCTCATGCCTCAGACTCCCGAACAGCTGGGATTACAGGTGCACGACACCACGTCTGGCTAATTTTTGGATTTTAGTAGAAATGGTGTTTCACGGTGTTGGCCTGACTAGTCTCGAACTCCTGTCAAGTGATCCACCTGTCTCAGCCTCCCAAAGTGCTGGGATTACAGGCATGAACCACTGCGCCCAGTCTAAATGACTACTTTTTATGTTACACATTTTAAGTAATTTTTGTCATTTCCATCTTAGGTTGTTGCTTTTTTGTTTTTTGAGACGAAGTCTCGCTCTGTCACCCAGGCTGGAGTGCAGTGGCATGATCTTGGCTCACTGCAAGCTCTGCCTCCTGGGTTCATGCCATTCTCCTGCCCCAGCCTCCCGACTAGCTGAGACTACAGGCTAATTTTTTTGTATTTTTAGTAGAGACGGGGTTTCATAGTGTTAGCCGGGATGGTCTCGATCTCCTGACCTCGTGATCTGGCCACCTCGGCCTCCCAAAGTGCTGGGATTACGGGTGTGAGCCACCGTGCCTGGCCGGGTTGTCGCTTTTAATGTGCTTTGGTTTTAATTTTATGTAGAAAAGTAAAATGTTTTTTTCTCTTGAAATTTAATCCTTGCTTTTAATGACTTGTGCACCCCAATTTATTAAGAAAATATTAAAAAAATAATCTTGAGTTGGGCATAGTAGTTTATTTCTGTAATCCCAGCACATTGGGAGGCAGAGGCAGGCTGTTGACTTGAGCCCAGGAGATTGAGACCACCATGGGCAACATGGGAAAATCCTGTGTCCACAAAAAATGCAAAAATTAGCCGGGCAGGGTGCCTGCCTGTAGTCCCAGCTACCCAGGAGGCTGAGGTGGCAGGATTACTTGAACCCTGGGGGTGTCTGAGGCTGCAGTGAGCCATGATCATGCCACTGCATTCCAGCCTGGGCAGAAGAGCAAGATTCTGTCTCCAAAAATAAAATAAAAAGTATATGTGTGTGTATAGACATATATATACACACACGTATATATAATGCCTTTGTATGTGTAGACTTGATTTAATTTTCAATTTTCATGTGAAGCATAAATTGAGCAGTTTTTCTATCTCAATTTTTAATCTATTTTAACATTATATTACATTATCTATTTTCTCTGGAAATTGATAAGCAACATACACCCCTCAAGACATGGAATTTCAAATAGGAAAAGATGTATGAATCTTTTGTAAAAAAAAATTCCGACATATATTTAAGTCACATACAAGCAGGAAGATTAACTTCATAAGAGAATTAGCAAAAGTTGTATTAATTCAAGACAAGAGCCTGCAGAGCCTAAAATTGCTTAGTACTGTTTTTGCCTATATAAACTGTAGTTTTGCCTATATAAACTGTAGTTTATGGATAAAATAAAGGATTTTTTTTTTTTTTTGAGGCAGGTCTCGCTCTGTTGCCCAGGCTACAGTGCAATGGCACCATCTTGGCTGACTGCAACCTCCATTTTCCAGGAAGGCTCTTTTTTTTTTTTTTTTTTGAGACGGAGTCTCGCTCTGTCACCCAGGCTGGAGTGCAGTGGCCGGATCTCAGCTCACTGCAAGCTCCGCCTCCCGGGTTCACGCCATTCTCCTGCCTCAGCCTCCCGAGTAGCTGGGACCACAGGCGCCTGCCACCTCGCCCGGCTAGTTTTTTGTATTTTTTAGTAGAGACGGGGTTTCACTGCGTTAGCCAGGATGGTCTCGATCTCCTGACCTCGTGATCCGCCCGTCTCAGCCTCCCAAAGTGCTGGGATTACAGGCTTGAGCCACTGCACCCGGCTGGAAGGCTCTTTAATTCCCCCTGATTATAAAGGTTTTGTGCAAACATAATTTGGTATAATAAAATATTTACACAAGAGACAGACACATACTCGTCAGTGTGTACGGTCATAATTTGAACAAGCCCTTTTAAACTTCTAGATATCATTGAAACTCCTACGTTGATTAAAAATGATCAAAGATCTTTCCAGTGAGAAGGATGAAAAATACTAGTGAGAATGAACTATCACTATTTCATATATGTGCCTATATGTGCTTACATATGCTTACATACAGCTCATGCTGTAATACAAGGTGACATTTAGGGGTTGAGACTTAACATCTGATTATACCTTGCTATTTATAACTTACAATCTTTTATTCACATTTCTCAAGTGCTATGCCTTTAGGTGCCTATACATCATGCTATCATAGAATTTCTAGGGATAAGCCGGGGGTGGTGGCAGACGCCTGTAATCGCAGCACTTTAGAAGGCCAAGGAGGGTGGATCATGAGGTCAGGAGTTTGATACCAGCCTGGCTAACATAGTGAAAGCTCATCTCTACTAAAAATACAAAAATTAGCTGGGCGTGGTGGCGCGAACCAATAGGCCCAGCTACTCAGGAGGCTGAGGGAAGAGAATCACTTGAACCTGGGAGGCAGAGGTTGCAGTGGGCGGAGACCACGCCATTGCACTTCAGCCTGGGTGACAGACTGTAGCTCAAAAAAAAAAAGTGTAAAGGTAAACTGAGGCTGGAGCCGAACCGGGAACGAAGACACAAGGCAAATGGCAGTGAGAATAGCCTTTTATTAGGGCTTGAGGGCGAGGTTCCTCAGTCCAAAGGCATGGGCCGAGGAAGTCGCGCTGAGGGAGGAGGGTAGGGGCTTTTTATAGCCTGAGAGGTAGGGAAGCTGGTTGTGCAAATGGGGCCTGGGGGGTCTTGAAACTACTAGGGCAGGAGTTGAATAAGGGTCATGAGGAAGGGGTCTTTGGAAACTGTTAACCAAAACTGCTGTTTACGACCTTGTGGAATGCAGGTGAGCTGCAGGTCATGGGGGAGTGTGGTTGCCCAGCCGGAACTCTGACGCATGTAAGTCTGCAGGTGTGTACAAGGGTGAAGGGAGTCTTTAACAAAAGGCCTGCTATGCCAGGTAATGCCGCCATGTTGGGTCTAGATTCCTGCCTAACATTCCGACCTCTTTCTAATAAGAAAATGGGGCAACGTGTTCATCTGGCTGCTTCCTGCTGGTATGGGTCATCGTGGGGATCTTCGGAGGTCGGAACTCGGGTATAGGGGTGGAGCAGCATCTGATTGAAAGTGACCTGGGAGACTTCTTTCATGCGGTCCTGGATGAAGCGGAGGACACAGGGAGCTATGAGTAGCAAGAAGCCAATGATTAGTAAGGGGCTTAGAAAGGGTAGGACTTAACCGGCCACAGACGACTGCCGCTAAGTGAGGGCCTTGATCCGAGGTTTTTTCTGGTGGAGTCTTTCCTGAATCTTTTCTAGAGTGAGGAAATTGGTTTCTACTAGTCCTGACTCATTGATGTAGTGTTCGGCCAGGAAGGGGAAAGGAGGGGGTTAGGTTAGAGAAGTTAAAAGGGTTGGGTAAGGGTACCGCAACCAGTGGGGGCTTATTCTATCTGCTGTGAGGCTTTTTGTAGTGGGTGTGAGGAGTATGCCTAGGTAGGTGACAGAAGGGCTGCAAAGTTGAGCCTTAGCCGGGGTAACCTGATAACGCTGGTCGCCTAGAAAATTTAAAAGTGTAGCAATATCTGCAAGGGAGCACTGCTAGGAAGGACTACATAGTAGTAAGTCATCGACATACTGCAATAGTGTGCTGTGGGTCAGGGGACAGGGAACAACATCCTGTGCCAGTGCCTGTCCGAAAAAATGGGGGCTATCACGGAATTGAGGCAAAACAGTCTTAAGTCAGCTGGGAAGAAATATGAGTGTCTGGATCTTCCTATGTAAAAGCAAACAAAGTGACAGTCGGATGTAAGGGAATGGTGAAGAAGGCATCTTTTAGGTCAAGGACAATAAAGTGAGTGGTATCGGGGGGAATGTGCGAGAGAAGTGTATATGGGTTAGGAACAACTGGAAAGGTGGGGACTACTGCCTCACTGATGACGCGTAGGTCCTGCACGAGGCAATAGGCCCTAGAGCTTTTCCGTACAGGCGGGATAGCAGTATTACATGGTGAGTTGGCGGGAACTAGAATGTGCTGCCAGAGCAGGCGTGTAATGATAGGTTTTAATCCCTGTCGATGTTCAAGGGAGATAGGGAACTGGGGTCTAGAGGGAAACTTGGAAGGGTCTTTTAGCCGGATGCAGACGGAGTATGGTGCTGGGTGAGGATTGGGGTGGAGGTGTCCCACACCTTAGGGTTAATGGGGACTGGAAACAGGAGTGGGGGGTCAGCCTGGTGGGGCTTGTCAGGTGAGAGGAGGGG